TAATGACCTTTATCACAATATGCTAATTTTTTGAGAAGGACCTGTATGTGTTCTTTCTGCTTTCTTCTGCTAATTTAGGCTTGTTCTTTCAATTCAGCTATATTTCAGCATGTTTTGTTTTTTTTAGCTAATTTCAGCTGTTTTTCAGCAAGTTCTTCTGCAATAAGCATCCACACTGCATTTTCGCAGTTTCTCCAGTTAATCACAACCTTTCCACAAACTACAAGTCCCATTAAATTCCTTTCAGACCTGCAGGAGTAAATCGTGCTCTGGTTTTTGGGGATCAGTCAGTTGTGAGCGGGACCAACTCACCACAGCCTCCATGCGACTCGTGTAGACCTCCGCCTGGCTGGCCTTGATGTAATTCTTCCTGTAGACTCGAGCACCCATCAGGCCGCCGTGCGAGAAGCCGGTGACGGCACTGAGAACACTCAGCTTAAAGAGGTTGACGAGTTCCTCGGGGTACCTATTAGACTTACTGCAAGGAAGCAGGCAGAACCGATGCATCTGTTCAAAATACTGATCGATAAGGTACATTCCACTAAATCTACTCTGCAAACTGATCGACAGCTTTAAAAATAAATAAATAAAAAGAGGACAAACTCGAAGTCGAAGAGCTCCTGGATGCGCTTCCACCCCGTGTCTGGAAACTCCGGCTTGCCGATGTTACTTGGCAGGGCCCAGCGTTGGGGCGCAGGTACAGGAGGAGCAGGACTGGCGGAGGACAAGGACGACGAGGGGGGCGGCTGCGCACCCACATCCGCCGCATGGACCCTGGGGAACAGAGAGCAGAAGAAACGAGCAGAGCCGGCGGTCTGGGCGGGGCCCCGCAGCGGGTTGGTGCACATCAGGCTCCATCCAGGGGTGGAATCTGCCGGGGCGAGTCTCGCGCCGTGCTGCTCCGGACGCATCACGCTCCAGCTGGCGTCGAGCTGCAGGAACACACGAGGCGAGATGTAGCGCTCACAACGTTAACGCGAAACCTCGAGGCGAACAGAACCGCGGCGGAGCTACAGGACTCGGGCTGTCGGGTCGAGCAGCCGTTAACCGCCGCAGTCCAGAAAAAACACCGCGAAGACGGTGGCAACTTCAGACTCTGAGCAGAACCCGACGGTTATTTTAAGGTGAAAACGCACAAATAATCCACAACTTTGAGTTTGAGCGAAAATATTTTGATCCGTTTCAAAAACCCACATTCACTGAATTCACGCTGAATGTTTGTTCATCAAGAGCACGTTCAAAAACATTTTCCTATCAATAAGCCTACACAGTAAGAACAGTCAAAAGAACTGCACTACCCAGAAGCCAACAGTGCTTCCAGCTACTTCCTGCTGCTGAAGTGGAGGCAAAGTCAGAAGTAATGATTTATCTATTAAGCTCAGAACTGGCAGCAAAGTCACAACTAATCGAGGGGAGCGGTGGCGCAGAGGTTAGAGAAGATGGGACCGAGATCGGAAAGTCACAGGTTCAACTCCCGGCACCGTCAACATCAAAATGTGGGTGGAAAAAGGTGAAACACCCACATCTTCCTCCACCCTTGTTTGCCCCACTCTGGGCCCTTGAGCAAGGCCTTTGAAAACGAGTTCTTGTGACTCAATGAGACTACCTGTAAAAATAAAGGGTACATGAAAAACTAGTCCTGAAGCTGAACTCATCCTTCAAATTGTGGTAGTATCTTCACCGGTGAGTACACATATCAAATTTTGCAGTACTGTACAGTACATATACATACGTTGTTAAAATTATGTAGGTTTAAGAGTTTAGAACATTGCAAGAGTGCGGGAAGGGTTTATAAATCCTTAAAATATTAATACTATAATAATAATAAATATAGCGTTCATCAGGGTTTCATTTGTAAACCGATCGATGCCAGAACACAAACAGTGGGCAGGCCGGCTGGGGGGGGTCCTCCCCCACAAAATTATGCATAGTGTCTCCCCTAGCTGCTGTTTGTACCAGCAGTTTGAGTTGTGTGTGCGTTTCAGCATGAGGGAAGAGGCAGCACTGCCTTTAGCTTTTTAGCCGGTTTTAGCTCTTTAGCTAGCACACATGCATTGCGTTACGCCAGTGGTGGTGGGGGGGTTGCGCTCAATTCGGTGCGGTAGGCGGGACAGTCTGTTCTGTTGAATCTAAAAATTCCTGTTGCTTCTAGTGGTTTTTGCTACTTTGCCATCTTATTTTAATTTGTAAAAAAAAAAAAAATCTGCACGCCTCTTTTATAATTGTCCATTGTTGTCATGATGCTTTGCTGCAATCAGGTCTCTCTTGTAATCGAGTCCTCGGGGCTCAGTGGGATTAACCGTCTAAATAAAGGTTGAATGAATGTTGGCGGGGCGCTCCGCTTGTCTAATGGCAGGTGAAACTCTTCATTAGATGTGATTTCCTGCATTTTGGTGGATTTTAAACAGGCTGTTAAAACATCCACGTTTACTTACATTTGTAAACACTTGCACCCCCACCCCCCTTTACTTGATGGTTCCGAGCCGACTCCGCTTAATTCACAGTCCGACTCCACATGTGAAACCTCCAGGCACTCACCCCCGCCACTCTTTTAGGGGCAGAGATTTTCTTTAAGGGTAGAGGTGGAAATGCTTACTTGAGGAGGCAGCTGTTGTCTATTGTGTTTAAAATTAGTGTTTATGCAAATTATTTTCAGTTTACATATCCAATATATAAGTTTGATTCATTCAAGACAGTCATGTTTGTTCATAACTTTATTATTAGTAAGACAGAGTTACTAGATCCAAACAAACAGTTACCGGAACGCATCATGTCAAAATAAGAGCGTTCCCGGATCCTGTTCTGGCAGGATCCGGCTCAAATTAAGCCCCGGGGGTTCCTACTTCATGGTTTTTGACCTATCGCAGGAGTATCAGAAGGGACTAGCATCACCTTCAGAGTAAAATAAAAACAGAAAACGCGTCAAAAGTTTGGTTTACGTCTGAATGAGACATTTTTACAACAAAGTCCAAAGAACTCCAGTTGTGTAAAACGTAAATAACTGAATGCAATCCTCATAAAACTATATTTTATTTGTAAGAATAGATCAAAGTTGTAAAATGTTTGAGGAATAAATGAGGTGATTTTCATTTTGATGGCAGCAACGTCTCAACGTTGGGACGGGGCAACAAAAGACTAAAACTACGTGGTATGAATAAGAAACAACCGGAGGGGAAAAAATAATTAATTAGGTTCAACGGTTCAGACGGAGCACTGGATGAAAGGAGGATTTTAGAAAGGCTGAACCTCGAAGTTTTACTAGTTTACAGTAAACATCTTGGATCCATTTTAGAAATAAAGTTGCTTAACAAAAATTGGGAAGACTTGAAATTTCCCAGCTTTAGTTTACAACAAACGATCTGCAGAAATCTCTGAGCTCAAAGGACGAAGCTGAAAGTCAATATTTGGGCCAGCTGCTTTAAAAACTGGTCCGGTTCTCTTCTGGACTCAGGAACACTTCCACAGATCATCTGTAAACACAGTTCACCAAAAGCTGCTGAACGCTCCACGAGGCCCAAAGAAGCCGAGCACGCAGAAACGCCATTTTAAATGCCTTGCGTATTTCAGCAAGCTCTGCAGTAGGAGTCCAGGTGCTGAACCTTCCTGCAGTCCAGAGTCAGACCTCTCACCAACTGAGAACACTACGAAACACAAAATCCAGCAAAGACAACTGAGGACTGGTGAACCGCTAGAACCCTTCATCACACAAGAATGGGACAACGGTCGCTCCAAAACCTGGTGTCTTCAGTTCCAAAATGTTTCCACAGGTTAATGAAAGGACATCCTTTACCAGAGGGGGGGCAAAGAACTTAAGAGATGTTGGGCTGCTAGTAGGAAGTAGCACAGGTCTAAGGAATCACCGAGACATTTAAAACTAGAGAAATTACATTTCCAGAGTACATGCAGAGTGAATTGTGAAGAACTTGCTGAAAAACGGCTGAAATTAGCTAATAATATGCTGAAATGTAGCTGAAATAGAAGAACAACCCTACTTTAGCAGAAGAAAGCAGAAAGAACACATATTTGCTGAACAGGGTTTAAATGAGCAGAAATTAGCACAAAAATTCAGAAACTAGCTAAAAACAACAAACCTGAAATTAGCAAAAAAATAAATAAAAATAGACGAAAAGTAGCTGAAAAGGCAGAAAGAAGCTTAAACTACCAGAAGGAAGTGGAAGGAGCTGAAATGTGAACAAAAAATGTGTAATTAGCTTTAAAAGCTAAATTTAGCACAAAAACAGCTAAATAGTAGCTGAAATAGTAGAAAAAGCTACAACTAGCAGGAAAAAGCTAAAGAGCATAACATGCTGAAATTACTAGAAAAAAAAGTTTAGGCTAAAAGTAGCAACAAAAAAAAAATCCACAAAAAAAAATTGAATTTATCTGAAAACGGCTGAAATTTGTAAAAATAATAATAAAACAAAAAAGCTGAAAATGTAGAGCAAGCTTAAATTATCAGAAGCAGAAATTAGTACAAAAAAGTGACAATTACCTTGAAAAGCTGAAATGAGCATAAAACAGCTGAAAAGTAGCTAAACAGCAAAAAGAAGCTTAAACTACCAGAAGGAAGTGGAGAGAACATTTTTGCTGAATTAGGCTGAAAAAAAAAAAAGTTGAAATGAGCAAAAAAAGAAAAAAGTGGAATTAGATGAAAAAGCTTAAATGTGCATAAAACAGCTAAATGGTAGCTGAAATTGTAGAAAAAGCTGAAGCTTGCAGAAATAAGCCGAAAGGAGCATTAACAAGCTGAAATTAGCAGAAAGGTAGAAGCACAAAAATGTTGATGTTAGCAGAAAGAATCTAAACAGGAGCACAAAACAGCTGAAAGTAGCTGAAAAAAATGTTTCAATTTGCTCAAGGCGGCTGAAAGAAGCTGAACCAGAACAAAAATGTGAAAGGCACAGTAAAAGGTTGTAAACAGATCTAAAGATTTGAAGGATGAAAAATGAGCTCAATTTATCTAGGAGGGGAAAAAAAGCGGCAGAAAAGGCTAAATATTTCAAACAGCTAAAGCTGCACCAATACCAACAGTCATGGCGTATCACAATGTGAATATCTATAATCATAACCACAAAAGGTTAGCTTTAGCAATTTGTTGTTGTTGTTTTTTCTCTGATTAACACAGCATTTCAGTTTTTAAACTGATAAAACTTGAATTTTGGCTCCATAAATAAATAAAACACCTTAAAGGTGACCTAACGGCTAATCAGCCTCGTGAGAAGCACCTGTGCTGCTCCAGATCAAACCGCGTCAGATGGGTTCACATCAGGAGAAACATGTTATTAAATTAGCATCTCTTAAAGTAAACCACCCAAATAAAGTGCGTAATGTTGGAAAATGAAATCCAACAGTAAAGTCATTCATTCGATGGTGACTCGCAGGTTAATAAATATCACGTCCTTCGGCTAAAGTTAGCTTGCACTTAGCCCGACTAGCTTACCAGCAGCAACCGCTCCTCAAGAATGTGTAGGTCTTACAGGTGAAGAGAGTCTCTTGTTATATTTATTAAAGCTAACACTTTTCTTTTCATACGTCCTTCATGGTTTCACTCTCCCGCATCCATCCCAATGCCAGAGCCCTATAAAGAGAAATAAATCTCTATGGTGCTGACCCAGGCCAAATAAATGACCTCTAACCCGCTCAGCGGAAATAAGTAAAATGTGCGCCCCCTGCCGCTGGAGGACTAAACAGACCTTTAGGCGGAAATCAATGCGCATGCGCAAAATATCAACCGTTAAGAAAAGTGAACGCAAAGACTTCAAAATTTAATCATTTATAATATTTTTTTGTTGGGTAAGAAGCCCATAGATGTTTATAGTAACGAATATACACAAACGATAAATAATGTGGATTACAAAACCAGAAATGGGCATGGATATATCTAGACCACAATGCAACGCAAATACAGCCTTTGGGCATGCGCATTAGCATCTACTCGACAACTGATGTTCTGCTGAATGACTTCTAAAATCTGCAAGAAGCAGAACACCAGCTGAAAGCTAAAAGGTGCAAACGCTAGCTAAGATACAGCCATTAAAACAATGGCTAAAAGTATCACGAGTTTAGCTAAAATACAATGAAAGTTAAAATATACAAAAACTAACATTTTTTTTAAACACCAACTAAAAACAGCAACGTGACGGATTAAAGTAATGACACGTTTTCTAAATTAGAAAAAGGCTTGCTAAAGGCTAACATAGCAAAAGGGTAGATGAAAGCTAAATAGCAAAAGTCTAGTTTAAAATAGAAGAAGGATTCAAGGATTTTATTGTCATACCAGCTCACATTTGTATGTTTGTGGTACGAAAGTTGGACTCGGGTCACAGATCAAGAAACCTAACAACAAATGAATAAATACAAGAGCACAAATAGATATATATAAAATAAATTAAGTTAAAAAAAGTAAGACGAAGCTGAAGTAAGTGCAGCTCAAAAACAGCTAAAAGGAAAAAAAAATCAGCTGAGCTAAAGAACGTAACAGTAATTAAAAGCCAAAAGTACCTAAATGCTCGATAACATCAATAAAGCACTCATTTAATGTAGCAAAAGCTTAGATTAAAAACAATAAAAGGCTAGTTTAAAGTATAACAGCTAAAAGGGAAAAAACAGCCGAGAGCTGAAGAACGTAACAGTAACTAAAAGCCAAAAGTAAAAGAAGCTTGATAAATAACACTTTAAAGTGGCCTAAGCCTAGATTAAAAACTGTAAAAGGCTAGTTTAAAGTAAAACAGCTGAAAGGAAAACATCAACCGAGAGCTAAAGAACTCAGCAGTAACTAAAACCCAAAAGTAACAAAATGCTTGATGAAATAAATAAAACCCTAATTTAAAGTAGCCAAAGCTTAGATTAAGAAATAGTAAGGCTAGCTAAAAGCTAAAGTTGTAAAGGGGAAGCTTAAAGTGGCAAAACTTAGAAGCTAAAATTAGAAAAGGGCTGATCAAAATCTAAAACCAGCAAAAAGTTACCC